AGTTCGAGGGGTTGTGATGAATGTCAAGAAAGGTTCCTTAGAAGAGACCTCCAAGCTGAGAAATGAATCGCATGGGAATCAGAGGAACCCAAAGAGGAACATGTTCACTATGACTGAAGTGGGGGTGGGGCTCCATGGGAAAATCAGGGTGGAGAGGCTGGTGGCCAAGGGCTCTCGCAACCACTGTAGGGAGTTTTCTCTCAAAAACAATGGGGAACCAGTTCAGGGACTCAAATGGGGCAGTGATAGGCAAGTGGAGAGCCCTGGAGACCTGTTAAGTTTTCTAAATTATCCAACAAAGGGACTAATTTAAGATGCAAAAAAGAGTTGGGAGAGCTGAGGGATTTGTTGTTTAACTCGAGACTTGGGTGAAAAGTTAGAGTAAGTTGGTTTATTCATTCGACGATGACGCACACTTTGTTTCACACTGTCCTTCTTCCAGAGCAACAGCACTCTTCCCACCCCCGCTACTGCCCATTCCCACCCCCCGGACTTCCCTCCCCTCCGTACTCTCCGGCCGTATCCGCGGACAGATGTCGACCTTTGGATGGTCCAAGGAGCACACACTTCAGTGGTGTTATTAGGGTAGTCACTCTATTGTGCGGCGGAAATAGGGCGAGCTGTGGTCCAAGTTTAAGTGTGTGGTGTCTAGGGCCAGTCTGAGGGGTTCCAGTAAGCCCACTCTCTTGAGTCTTGTTTCACGTTTTTCTGCCCCTCTACCCGGACCTTCTATTGCGATTTTCTTTCGAGCAGCCATCGTAGCCAGAAGCATCTAGTTCTCCTGGGCTCAAGGTTATTACAGACGGGCTTACTTAGTCTAGCAGTCCTTTGGATTGCTCTTTCTATTGGTGAGAACTGGGTACTTGAAGGTAGGCCATGGTGGCTGACTGACTTCTAGAGCAGTTAGAATGATTGGCAAGTTTGTTTAGGATAAGTGAGATGTTTCAGCAGATTCTGGAAGGAGAAAGTAGGTGGGGAATATACAGTCAAGATATGTTAAGCCTGAAATACCTGTGTGTGTCCAAATGGGAATGTCTACTGGGTAACTAGACATAGGGCTGGAGTGCAGAGGGAACTGAGTTGCTCAGTTATAGTGTCAGAATCTTTTGTTTCCTTATGAAATATATCCAGAACTTTCTCCCTACTTGTGTATGAGAAGTGGGTGTGAGAACATAGCATCCATTAAGTAAAATTCATGGAAGTTTTGGAGATAAAGGAAGTACAGCTCAAAAGCGTTTCCAGTTATTTATAGGAATTATTACTGCTAGTTAACTTCTCGTGAATGCTTTCATTTCCTCGTCAGGAGAAACGAAGCCTTTGGCAGAACTTATTTCCCCTTGATTTTAATGTATCAAAGCTCACTGCCATCAAGTTCATGCCAACTCAGAGACCCTATATGACAGGGTAGAACTGCCCCATAGGGTTTCTAAAACTTGACTGTTTGCGGGAGTAGAAAGCCCTGTCTTACTGCAAAGGAGTGGCTGGTAGTTTCAAACTGCCAAGCTTGAGGATCACAACCCAATGCCTAACCCTGCTCCAAAGGATTAAGAGGGGGTTTAAAAAACTCGTCTAAAAAACTGAAGCGTTACAGCCTCTGAAACTCACCGGAGCAGCTCTACCCTGTCCTAGAGGGTCGCCAAGTCGGCCTCGACTCAATGGCAGTGCATACAGTAGTATCGTTCTAGGAAACGGTAGACAACAAAGGGCAAGGCTCTCTTTACAAATCTCTCCCCATCCCTAAATCAAGATTTCCTTCACCCTTTAGTCGACACTAGTAGTTAATATGTTGAAATTCAGAATTCTTATGGCATAAAGAAACAATAAATCACCCATGGACTGAGACAAGCAGAAGTTAAAATGTTTGAAATCTAGCACTCTTGAATGCTGAATTTTGACTTCACTGCATTCTGGTCTGTCATCTTGACCCACTTTCAAAAGCAGGTATCTACCGTGTGCGTACACACACACACACACACACACACACACACTGTCCAACCTCCAAATATGAACTAAATATTCTAAAATATACATAAACTCCTAAACCAGCTTCTCAGGCTGAACCATTACTAGAAATCACAGAATTAGAAGCATTTGTAAAAACCCATAGGTCTGTACAATAGCAAGCCCTTCACATTAACTATGGGCTTCTATTTTAACAGTGTACCTACCATCAGTGGTTCACCATTGGTAACAAATGTGAGGCAGGAGCGCGATGTTAGTAACTGGAGAAACTGTGCCCTGGGAGGAAGGTATAGAAGAGTATGTATATGGGAACATGCTGTTCTTTCTGAAAGATTTTCTGTAGACCTAAAACTGCTTGGGAAGGTCTCTTAAGAAACAAAACCCCAAATCCATCATAAGAGATCTTCTCATCCAACCCTTGCTTATACACACAAAATGTGAGCACTGAGGCATGCAAACATCAAAGTGACTAGGCTGCAAAGTAGCAGAGCCCAGAAAAGGCTTTCAGTCTATTCAGCTTGCTTTTCCGGTTTTTAGTTGCACTGGTGGACGGTGACAATAAGGCTTCAAGAATTTCTGCTTTAGTCTTGGTTTTTCAAATCAGGAGACACTGCTGGAAAATAGCCTGTTTCCGGCATGCTCATCTTCAAAGACCTATATTAATAGAAATCCAAACCAAACCAAACCACTGCCATTGAGTCAACTGATTCACAGCTACTATAGGACAGAGTCGACACAAACTTGGAGAGAAAGTCTCATCTTGTAGTTAGCAGTCCAACTTGTAACCCACTATGTTGAAACTACCCAATGGAGATTTCCCCAACTTTTTACTCCTCCCCTTCTAACCCTTCCCCACCCACCTCTCCATTTCCTAAGGGTTCTTCAGTCTTGAAGGTTGCTTTCTTGTTAAGAGTAGACCAGCCTTTAACATCCATGGAGGTCCACAGGAGTTAACTGTATGGTTACAATATATAAGATCATAGTAAAGTCGCAGAAGATAGGAGAGGTAGAAGAGAAGATAAAATAAAGGAGTCAGACACATTTTATGGTAGCATGCTCACCTCAGCGACACCCATGATCTCAGCAGCCAGGTTCGTGCAGAGAGCAGGGAGAAGAGGGGAGATAGCCCTTTATTTCTGACCAAGGCCTATATATACTTAGGGGCATGCAAGCCCTCTGATTACAGGTAACTACATACGTCACAGGAATGGGCTATACAATAGCCATACATGTCACAAGAAGGGGATGAACTGGGGGTGTACGTGTAATAGGAAGAGGAGGGTCTAGGGGCACACGCGACAAGATTGGTGGACCCTAAACTCAAAATGGCAGCCTAACCTCGGTCATCCTTGAGTGGGCTCTACCTTGTCTCTGGGCTCTCCTTCAGGGAGGCAATCCACTATCTTATCAGAAGGGAGTGGGCCCTACTTAGGGTGAGACAGACTAAACAGTCTGAATGCTCTAGATCAGCCGTTCTCAACCTCTGGGTCATGACCCCTTTGGGGGTGGGGGTGTGTCAAACGACCCTTTCACAGGGGTTGCCTAAGACCGTGGGAAAACACGTAAATATTTCACAATATATAATTACATATTGTTTTGTGATTACTCACTATGCTTCAATTATGCTTAATTTGCAACAATGAAAACATATCCTGCATATCAGATATTTACATTACGATTCATAACAGTAGCAAAATTAGTTATGAGGTAGCAACGAAAATAATTTTGATGGTTGGGGTTCACCAAAACATGAGGCACTGTATTAAAGGGTCGCAGCATTAGGAATGTTGAGAACCACTGCTCTAGATGGCTGATAACCCTCAGGGAGAATACCCTCTAAGCAGCTTGTGTTGACCTCCAAGTGTACAGTCATTTACCATGTGACATAAGCAGCATCCTAGGTTTGACATATATTTGGGGGAGACAACCTGGGGAAAAAACCTTTTGTATCCCACACGCTCTCTTCTACATTCCTTAACAGATTGCTTTATTTTGGGATCTTACCCTTCCGTCTTTAGTAGTTCCCTTTGCCCTCTCAGTCTACAGATACTGTTACCATATATACTCGTAATTAAGCTGAGTTTTTCAGCACATTTTTAATGCAGTTTTGTGGTAAAATTAGGTGCCTCGGCTGATATTCAGGTCGGCTTACACTCCAGTATATGTGCCATTTAAAACCCAACCTAAATCACTAATCCTCAGGATGTTCTTTCTCCAACACACAACTACAAAGAGCCCCGCCTTGCCTTCTCTACTGATTCCTTGACTCAATGCAACTGACTCCAAAGGGCTCTTCTCCTGCTCCAGAAAACGCTCTCGGCAAGTTCAAACTTTTCTCTTCAATTCATCAGAACCACAAAATAGGAAAGAAATGGTCCCCACCTCCTCCTCTTGGAGGATTCTCTTACCAGACTATTACTGGCCTTCTTGAGGTTCTTGCCTGCTCTATCTTCACACTGGCTCCCCTGAAATTTTGTTACCCATAACCCAATCTTTATTATATAAAACAAGGGGGCTTCCAAACGTCTGTGAAAAATGAAATATAATGGAATTCTTCCATGAACTTTTTGAAGTCTTCACTACATAACGCATGTGTGTCTAAGAATGTGTACTTTATTTTCACTCTAAACTTTTCTCCCGCGTTCTCTTTGTGTTAGCGTGTACTGGTTAAGTTCAACTTACCTAGATGCCCTCTAGATACTTCCGTTGTAAGTGCCTTCAAAATTGAAATCATCTTTCCTCCCACCACCATCTGAACTAATTTTGCAGTTGATGATGTCAATCAATGGGGCAGGGGAATGTTTTTCTTCTCTCTCAATCAAATTGAACTCCTGGTGTGGCATATGCTCATAATTTTAATGTAGTTCACCATTTGTAACCTCCAGAGTAGGAGCTTTGTGAGGGTATATGTACTGTTCATTTATATCATGCCGGGGGCCCTGTTAGACGCTCAGATTATGTGTGGAACTCAGTAATAGAAAATGTGCAGTTTTTGCACAGGTAACTCTCCACGATATAAAATGACAGACTGACAGAAAAAGTTTTGTGAGAGCTTTAATGGCACAAAATGTTTATAGCTACAAGTTATTATACATGTATTGTAAACTGTATATAACAATACAAAGTGCTAACTAAATAGATGAAGAATGCATAATCACTTTGGCTCAGTTATTCCCCAATAATTTCAGCAACTGATTCACTTAAAAAAAATCAACTCACTGGCTGAGTTTCCAATGTTCATTTTTATAATGGTAAATAATTTACTGCTATCAAGGTAACTTGTTGCATTTTTCAATGTGCAGGTTTGTGCATTTTGCTCATAATTCTATTTGCAAATACTTTAAGCCAGTTTTCAAACATGAGAAAAATTAAGCCTGCCTTATCATCTCCAATTGTAAACAGGTGTAAAGCTTTTAAAACATTAATTAATTGAAACAAAATCTCAACTGTTATTGTGGAGTTCTCCTTTCCAATAATACAATCTGTTTCTGTTTAATGCAAATCTGGGCAGGGTATACACACACTCCTCCCATATGTTAGAGCTATCAATAAATACTGCATTTATTTCATCTTATGACAAATCCTACTATGACTGTGTATTCATTTTTTAAGTAAGATTCCATAATTTCACAGAAAGTAAAAGGGCAGAATTAAATAATAAATATACCCAAGTTCTAATCACACCACCAATAAAATGACTACTGAATCTGGAAAGAAGAAAATGTGATGCCTGTAAAAAGCTGCTCTGAGTAGACTTCGTTTCCTCTCCCATGATGCCAACAGGGTCCAACGGAAGGTCCGTCTACTTCGTTCTATGAGCTTTTCCCTTCCACTCAGCCTTTTCAAAGTCAGAGGGCATCAGACTGACTGTTTCCAAGAGATGCTAATTTGCACAATTACAATAAATAGGTTATAGAAGGCAAATCAAGGTGCCAGGTTTAAGGTTAATATAGAAATAAGGTAAAATATAAAAAGATGTCCAAAATTATTTAGCCATCATCAAATGCTAGAATAAAAAGAAAAATTATTCAGAAAATCATTTTGAGTATATCATCTTTTTTATGGAATAACAGCTATATTTGGGGGGAATGATATTGAAAATTAATTTTTAACTTTTTTACTATAACACATTAATTTGCAAAACTTGTCAGGAGAAAGAAAAAAAGTTCGTTCCTGCAAACTGACAAACCTGGTTGTCGTAGTGTCTTTATTCAAGTCAATCCATCGTGCTTTGTTTAAGGAACAGATGGCTGCTTTTAAAATTAACAGCGGTTCACTGAAATATTCAATAGTAATGTCTATATCATAAAGTCATTCTTAAATATAAAAGTGTAGTTAATAGTATCCTTCAGAGTCATGCTGTGTGTTCTGAAATCCAATAAAAGCTACTTGAAGTAACTGGTAATCCTGATGCGTTCTAACAATTTGGTCCTAAAGCTTCACATTTTAGAAAAAAAAGGAAAAAAGTGTGTCATTGAAGGAAAAAATTGTTGAGAGTTGTGGAATTTCAAGAGTTTGACTTCACTGAAAAGACGAAGACGACGTGAGAAAATCAGCGTGCCTGCAGAGCCACAGGAATGACTTTGGGAAGATCACACGGTCAACAAGAACAAGGGAGAGACAAGAAGCAAAAAGGGCGGGGCATCTTCTCAGAACTTTGTCAACTGTTCCCGTACCCGAGAGTCTGGGTCTCAAAGTCACCCAGTGGATGGAGTAACTCTGAAACGATCATCTGCAGAGCTGAAAGGCGTTAGAGGAGAAACCCACATTCACACCACAGATTGGGACGCATCCCAAAGCCTCTCAGAGAAATAAAAAATAAAAGTAAAGAAAGTTATGAAAAATTAGCATGCCGCTAAAAACATACACAAAAATCCCACAGCAATTTCATATATTTCTGGGCCTGAGACATTCCTTATCAGAAATAAAGACTCTATATCATAGAAAAGACATTACGATATACTAGTATGAAAGTCTGCTGATGTGATTTTAGTCCTCAGTCTGTTTGTTGCACAGCCTGCCTCCTGGAAAGGCGCGAAGGAGGGGCAGACAACAGCGGCTCCACAGCCGGCTTAAAACACTTTTTATTGCCCAGGTGCCTTTTTAACTTGCATTTTGGTTTTTTGTTTTGTTTTTATTTTTTTAATTGCTATAAATTCAAGTTTAGGGAAGCTTGCCTTTTGGAAAACAACAACAACAATAAAGCTTAATTATCACTTGCTAACCTGAACTCATTTGAAGAGTGGAATGGTAGTTATCTTGCAAGAGTAAATTTATACCAATAATGATGCAGGTCTAACTCTGGTGGTGACTAAAAGGAGACAACAGTATTGTTGACAAAATTATAATCTGCTGGTGGCGTGTGCACAAAGAAGCCCTTGCAAATTTCTAGACAGTAAACTCTGTTAGGAAGTCTAAAGTGTCTTACAGGCCCCAAAGGGAATGAGGTTAGTAAAATGTCTCAACAGAGTTAACATGAAATACTGGATTTTCAGTTACTGGAACTTGGATATGTAAAAATAGGGTGGCAGGTCATGCTTATAATGGTCTCAAGTTCAAATAAACTAATATGACAAGAACACCACTTCACAGGTCACACGCATTTCCCATGGCTTTTCTCTTCCTCAGTAGGTGCTGGCAGAAGAGGTGCTCAGTCGTTTTCCAATATAGATGCTGAAAGGAAACAGAGCACATCAGGTCTCACCTGCTCCCGCAAGTCCAGGTCCACGCCAGCTTGTCAAGGCCTGACTTAAAAACTAAAATGTTTGTCCTTATGAGGCTCTAAAGCAGTGGTTCTCAACCTTCCTAATGCCATGACCCTTTCATACAGTTCATGTTGTGGTGACCGCCAACCATAAAATTATTTTCATTGCTACTTCCTAACTGTAATTTTGCTACTGTTATGAATTGGGTGACCCCTGCGAAAGTCGTTCGACCCCCAAAGGGGTCACGACCCACAGGTTGAGAACCACTGCTCTAAAGGTTCCTCAATACCCTGAAATTATCATCAGTCACCAGCCAGTCAAACTGGTTCCATAGAATAACCAGCTTACTTGTTAAGGGTACTGGCTGCTGGACAGCACAGAGGCAGTGATTGGGCAAAGTCAAGCCAGAGGGAACAGGTCCCTACAAAGCATAAGTTTTACTGACAGCTTAGATACAAAACACAGTAACATGTCTAATGATTTTGGTGTTCTGTGTAAGAAAAAATTAAGGTTGCCTGTGCTTTAAGGAGGATTCCTACTGTCTTAATTCTTATCACTTTTCCATGCCATATGACAAGTATTTCACCCTTACAATAACTAAGCATAAGCAAAGTTAAGGAAAACTAGGAACTAGATTCATCTCCCAGTTTAAGAAAAGCAATCAACACCTTGTAACCCTCTTTTCTGCATTCATCTACAACCATAAGCGCATTTACTCCAGCAGGAGAAACCGTTTGTAACAGGAAATGACATTGTGGTATACAAAATGGGTAAGTGAACTACTGAAATGGGTAAGTGAACTACTGTATAGCCACCCCGTGAAGCCATTTAAACTGCTCCTGCCCCATACCACCGACACACAGCACTGACACACTCCCTTTCCTCTACAGACTGTCCACCTCCCGGGGCCTGCTCACTGGCCTTGCCCTCCCTAGAGCAGACTGGGTACCCCAAAGATAAAAAGGGTATATCTGATATGCTGAGCTTCTTAAAGGAAAGGTAAAGGATGATGTATTCTTTCCATATTGTCTGCAGAAAAAGATCGCTGAGCACAATTTAAGCCTAAGAGACGTGTCTTAGAAAAATTAAGTTACTTTTAACTCTGAAAAATTTTCAAAAACACATTTCTTCATTTTTCTAATCAAAATTAAAAAGACATGCTCAACAAGTTAATGAACTACAAGTTTAAAATTAATTAAAAGATTATAAGGCAAGAGAGTAAAATGTAACACCCAAAATTAACCTAACAATTTCACTCAAAGATGATTTAAAGAGGGGGAGGAAACTATTCCTATCAACCTCAAAATTTATACACTAAAGATTAGTTTATTGTAAAATTTAGTTAGTCTTGAGCAACTACAAAGAAAAATAACAAAAGAAAATTCAAAATGCTTTAAAAAATATATAGAAGAGCTCACCTTAAAAATGAGCGTTAGGGATTAATATGAACATCTTGGGTTTAAATAAGGAAAAAAAACTATAAAAAATGTTTATTGGCAGACCAACAACGGTCTACCAACTTTAAGAATTGTAGGTTCACCTGATTTCCACTGAAACAGCTCAAGCATAGTAATACAGACTGCCCTCACACACACTTCTTACATCTAAAGCTAAAAGGTGAAGATAACATGAATGGAAAAAATTTAAAAGCATGCCAATACTTACCCTAGCCCCAAAGCCAAAACATGAGAAATGAAGAGAGATGGAATGAACACCTTAAGAAATTCTGCGGAGAAAATGCCCCCTTTCTTCATGGCTCCACTTTTTCTCATGCTTAAAGAAACTGAACGTTTCGGGTGCCTGAAGTGGAACTCCCTGGAGGAAGAAATCCAGAGGTGGGTGTCAGAAATACACTTGCCAAGACCATGGTCTTGCGCACTGGAGAGTGAAACAGGACCACGCAGAAAGCAACGCGCAGAGGACTTACTTGGGAGGGATGTTTTCGGGCCTGCTGGACCAGTCAGAGACCCACTCGACACTCTTCTGCATGGCCTCGCCTTCTCGCTCGCCTTCTGCAGCGTCTTCTTCCGACTAGAAAGAAGAGCTTAGATTTTAAAGAGGGAACAATGTCTTCTAATACAAAGACAAATCTGGGCAAAAGTATACTAAAATCAAAAGAAGGTACCATCCGTAATTTTTATGTAAGAATCATGCCATTTTTTAAAAAAAGAAAGTATCTTACAAAGATCTAAGGATCAGTGCTGAATTGGAGGGGGTGAAGGTCAACGCCAACAAGAATGAGGAGGATGAAGGCCATTCAAATTCCTCTCCAGGACACACTGACGCAGCAGCGGCACAGCGGGAAGAATGGAAATGTTTACGGGGGGTCTTAGCTGGGACACCACAAAGAAAGATCTGAAGGACCACTCCAAATCTGGTGAAGCTGAAGACTGTGCTCTGAAGTTGGATCCTATCACAGGGCGATCAAGGGGTTTGGGTTTTGTGCTATTTCAAGAGTCAGGGAGTGGATAAGATTATTGATCAGAAAGAACATAAACTGAATGGGAATGTGATTGACCCTAAAAGGGCCAAAGCCATGAAAACATAACAGATACAGCTGAAGAGAAAAGAAGGGCGCACCGGCGGCACTTTAGTGGTTTTGGTGAGCTGGAATCTACACAACTCCCCAGAGACGACAAAACCAGTAAGAGGCGTGGATTCTGCCTTATGACCTTTAAGGAAAAAACCAGTGAAGATAATAGACAAGAAGTATCACAATGTTGGTCTTAGTAAATGTGAAATAAAAGTAGCCATGTCGGAGGAACAGTATGGGCAACGGCCACAGAGGGGGATCGAGAGGAGGCTTCTCAGGATGAGCTCATGGAAGAGGTGGTGACCCGCAGAGCGGTTATGGGAAAGTATCTTTAAAAGAACTCAAGTGAGCATCACTGTTTCATCCAAGCTAAATTAAAAAGAAATTTTTAAAGCTTATTTCACTATATAATGCTAACTAAACAACAACAAAAACCAAGCTCAATACCATTGAGCTTATTCTGATTCACAGTTACCCTATAGAGCAGTGTAGAATTGCCCCTGTTGAGTTCTGAGACACTAGCCCTTCAAGGGAGTAGAAAGCCTCTTTCTCCCGATAATGCTTAATACGATATAGTGAAATCTTGATAACTGTTTAATCTGGGTGATGGTGGTCTATTGTATTATTCTCTTTACTTTTTGTATGCATATCAAATGTTCCATAATAAAAAATAAATGAAAGGGAACATACTAAAACAATATGCTAACAAGAATAAAGTGATGAGTAAAAAAAAGATGTGACAATAGTAATAAATAACAAATAATGACAGCATTTATTAAGCATTTTTTCAAGAGACAAGCATTAATACTTTTCATGCATTACTCCTTTTACTTTGTAATAACCCTATAAAAAATAACCATTAAGGTCCCATTTTATAGATAAGGAAACTGAGGTAAAGTAAGATCCTTGCCTTAAGTATGTAGCTAGTAAATAAATCCCCCAGAAATCCACCAAATTGTCTCTAGAGCCACCATCCTTAAACACGAGGCTTTACGATCCTGAAAGCAGTATTCTTTTTTAGACAATTCAATGTCCACTATCCATGATTCACTCAAAACTACTTCAGCCAAAAATTTTGAAATTTGTTTTACTCTGAGGCAGAATTTGGCATCTATCTCATCAAATAAATAACAAATAAATCTTTTTTTTTTGCTAAGGATAACCTAAAATTAAAAGATTTAGGCCAAGATTAATCAAAATTTCTACCAACATGTTTCAATAAAACCCACAGAAATAAAAAATTCATAAAACAATAGAGCATTATTTATTCATTTTAAAGAGTGGGGTATTAAGACCTTAAACCAAAGCGCCTCAGAGCCAAACTTGCTTTGATTTGTTACTTTGTTTGAATAGAATTCTCTCTTTGACCAGAGATTTCATTCATTTAAGAGCTAGTTAAGAAATGCAGAGCTGGACATATCCCAATGCCTTATTGCTGACGGTCTGCAGATGCAGATCTAGAACTCTGTGGAGAAACAGCTGGTGAAGCAGGGTTCAGTGCTTGGCTGTGCATTGCAAACTCCCCAGGAGAAAGAGGAAGGAAGCAGCCTGCTTCTGTACGACCGACCACAGCCTTGGAAACTACATGGGGCAGGTCTACGGGGCCATGTACGGTCACTATGAGTCAGAACTGAGTCAAGAGCAATGGGTTTAATTTTCTGTGAAATGACTGCATCAGGAAGACAGTAGCTTCAGTCTCCACATTTAGAGAGTCTCCCTTTTACTGTCAAAGCCCAAATGAAATCCCTGTGGATTTTTGCTATCCCAGAAGTTATCGAATTCTGCTGAACATGGCAAATTCCAATGGATTGCATACCCAATGCATTTCGAATTAAGCTTCTTCCATGGGGTATTGAGATTACTCAGAAGCATGAATTGGCTCTTTGAAATTAACACTGTAAACATTAAATGAGATTTAGCAATTTTAAAAATCTCTGTGTATACACACAATATGAAATTATGCCGCACACTGCACTTCTGCTTCTAGTGTCCAATTTTTGTCCCTCATTAAACCTGCTTAAAATTTTAAGTTGAAGCTTTTAAACAAGGTAATGTTTAATCCTGTTCAACAGAATAAAAATGAAATGTTAGGTATTTTTAGAAAGCTCATATACTTTTCTTGGACTTAAAAACACAAACAACAAACACAAACCCTAGAATAGTCACCCGAAGAAGGACCAGATGTTCCTCTGTTCATTATCTCCCTGCAATATACAGGGTCACCATGAACCAGAACCATCTCAAAGCCAACTAACAACTGCTTCCTTCTACTGGTCCTAAATTTACCACTTTGTAAGATTTACTTCCAATCCTTAAAAAACAAAACAGGAAGGGGAAAAAAAACCCAAAACAAACCACCTCACTGCCATGGAGTCAATGCTAATAACCAGCGACTGGGGGAAGCAGAGTAGGACTCCCCATGTGGGTTTCTGCGGCTGTCTTTACAGATAGAAAGTCTCATCTTCCTCAGCACTGTCACTCTTTTTTCTCCCCAAGGGAGAGCGTGAACGCAGTCCCCATGACCACAAATTATGCAGGGAGAGCGTGAACGCAGTCCCCCCCACGACCACAAATTATGCAGTCGAGTTTCCCACGCGTGGGAAATCGCAGGGGTCAGCACATCTGGAGTGCAATGGATAAGCCTGGTGCTGGGAAAACCACCTTCGTGAGCATGGTATCTCCCCTGCCAGGTAAGTGGCACTGTACCTCTTTATAGAAATAGAAAACCTCATTTTCTCCCATATGGTCGCTGAGTCAGAACTGACTCAATGGCAGTGATACCGTAGTTCTTTCTCTACGCCTACATTTTTCTGATCATTTTAGCCAGTTCATACATGGAAGTCCCTATCGTCTATTTGAGGAAAAGAGAGGGCATTTTCAGTGTAACTGCAAACATGGCCCAACGGGCCTCTGTGCTTCAGAAGCATACTGCCAACATGTCTTCAGGGGTCAATTTACAGTCTGCTTTCACCTACGCACCTGGGACGCTAGGGAAACTAGCATTCTAAAGTATGGTCTGAATGGTCTTTTTCTGAATGTACCACTTTAGCCTTCCTCACCCCAACATCTGTGAGCAGTCCTGATATCTGTGAGGCTTCCTCTAATAAAAGGAACAGGGTCACAAGGGTCACACACTCAGATTTGGTTTCAAGCCTACCTCTATCACATATTTGTTGTGTGATCCTGAATCATTACTACAAAGTCTCACTTCTTATTTGTCTATGGGGATTTTTTTTAATAGAGCATGTTTAATTGTGGGAAACAGAAGGATTTCTCCCAAGCTGTCTCCCCCAAATATATGCCAGACTTAGCTGCTTGAGAGTGGATTGGGGGTCATTCTCCCTGAGAGTTATCAGCTGTCTGGACCAAGCAGACACCACTGTTTATCCCACAACAAGTAGGGCCCACCCACTCCCTTCTGATAAGGGCAGTAGTTGTCTGTTTCCTTGTAGGAGACACCAGAGAGGTCAAACCTGCCCAAGGATGAACAAGATCAGACTGCCATCACGAATCTAGCGTCCGCCCATCTTGTCACATGTATATCCCTAGACCTTCCCATTCCTATAGGCACACCCCTAGCTCATCCTTTCCTGTTACGCTTATGCCTATCATAGATCCCTTCCTACAATGTGTATGCCTATTGTACTGCCCCTTCCTGTGACGTGTGATTCTGTAATCATGTCCCCCTAAAGTGATATAATGCGTGGTTAGCAATAAAGAAAGGAGGTTCTCCCCAGCTCTGGGGCCAGGAGCTCTCTCCAGCTCTCGGGGGCCAGGAGGCTCCCTGGTTCTCGAGTTCCGAGGCTGCTCCTGCTCTCATAGCCGGGTTCCCCCCAGGAGAACCACCAAGCAGGGCGGAGGTGAGCAACGCTACCATGTAATGTGTCTGACTGCATCA